AGAACGTGCTGACATTGTGGGGTCCATTACTGTATGTCTGTCTCCTGCGTGTGTTACGTGTGATTTTGCAGGCGCCCATACACACACTTGCTGGGTTTCCTTCCTTCCTTCCCTCCTTCCCTCTTTCCCTCTTTCCTTTCCTTCTTCCTTCCTTCCTTCCTTCCTTCCTTCCTTCCTTCCTTCCTTCCTTCCTTCCTTCCTTCTTTCTTGAGGTGGGGTCTCATTTTAGCTCAGGCTGGCCTTGAACTCTGTAACCCAGGCTGGCCCTGAACCCAGGCGATCCTCCTGCCTCACTCTCCCGAACGCTGGGATTATGGGCGTGTGCCACCACACCCTGCCCTCGCTCGCTTTGCAGATTACCCGCGTGCACCTTCCAGATCCACCATGCCCATAGCTCTCACCTCAGACCCAGCCCGGAAGACGTCGGCCGAGCGCCCTGATTTCGGTGTAAGGTTCTGCGGAGGTCTGGAGATCCCAGCCCCGAAGCCCTCGTTCCGGGCAGGGCGAATTCGTTAGAGCCGGGGCGGCCTGGGGCCTCCAGCAGCTCACGGCGATCGCCCGGGGCACCCGGCACGGGGTCCTGAGGTCTGTCCCCTCTGTCTTGGGTCCACTGGTGGGACACTGGCTGGGAGACCTGGCGGCCGAGGCGCTCGGACTCCGGTTCATCCTCGCTCCTGCGCCCGGCGGAGTTCACCGCATGGTTCCCTCACCGGACACGGCGCCCTCAACAAACCTTCAAACGGAAACACTTTGGATCAGCTGTTTTCCTTTGGGGGCCGGGATGTATGTCCTGTCAAAGAATTGTTCATACCTTTGCTTTTAACGTGTTTGGTGATTTCATATTTAAAACGTACCCGTCAATCCCCAATAGAAAAAATTTCCCGGAGAGGCGGCTCAAGTCTGGAAGCTGAGAATCGCAGAGAGCACGGCTGAGATTCTCCCGGGACCGGCACAGGCGCGCAAGGCCGGACCGCGCGGCGCTGCCCGCAAGGCCTCGCCCCTCCCCCTCCAGGAACAGCTTCTACGCGGGCATTTGGAAAATGGGGCGGGACCTCCAAGAGGGGGTTCCTTGGAGGTGGGCGCCCCGCGAAGCAGCTCGCGGGGGGTGGGGTGTGTGCTGGCAGCAGCCTCAGCGACCAGCCTGCCGCCCCCCTCGGGCCGGTGCTCAATCAAAAAGTGGAAGAGACCCAAGGGTGCCAATGAGAAGAAAAGTCAGTCGCAGGAGGTGCACGGGCCTCTGCCAGCTGCGCTCCCCCAGGCCTCACTGAACGTGGGCCCTGGGAAGCCAGGGGAGGATTCGATTCTTTTCATATTCTCCTCCCGGCACAACCGAATTATTCAGCCTCTTCCAGCGGAATTCCTAAGCAAAACCCCCTTTAAACTTAAAATCTACTGAGAATAGATAAAATAAATCAAAATTTCGTTTTGAGTTGGTGGATGGGATGGAGAAGGAGGCGTGCGGGTGATGCCTGCACGGACGAGGTTGGGAAGCTCCGAGCCTGGGGTACCGGTCACATCTCCTTTCCCAGGGCATATCCGTGCAGGCAGGCGTCCCGGGCGGTGCCGGATTCGGGGCTCACAAGCCTCCCTTTGCCCGGGTGAGATCGACGGAGCGAGCAAAACTCCCGCACATCCTCGCGTGTTCGGGATGCCGAGACAGTTGCCCGGGCGGGTGTTGGCGTCGGTGGAGCTCCTGTAACTGAGAGTCAGGGCTCCAAGTAACCTCAAGGGAGAAATATGTAGGGTTAATACTGCCTCCGAACTTTACCCAACGTGGTAAGCGGGCATTTGCGATCCACCAGAAGAGAGCCCAAGTCTGGCGCGGTGGTGGTCCCTGCAATCCTGGCGCTCTGATTGGGGGGAGGGCAAGATCTGGAAGTTGAGCCCAGTCTGAACAATTTAGCAAGATCCTTTCTCAAAAGATTTTAAAACGGCAGAGGATCTGCCCAGGGTACTATACTTGTGAGGCTGTTCCCGCACCCCTCCACACACTGTGAATTGAACCCAGGTGAAGCTGAGGGCCCTGACAGTCCACAGCGCAAACCAAGAACTCCCGGAGGCGGAAATGTTATTCTCTCCCAAAAAACTTAGGACCCCTCGCTCCTCTACTCCAAGGGCATGGCCTTGGTGCTGGGTTCTCCAGGGCAACCCCTTTCATTTAGGCAGAAGGTCTGTGTGGGGGAAAACCTAAAGGTGGGACTTGAGGAACTTTGTAAGTCTCTGGGACTGAGGCTTGGGTGGTGACAGGAGAGCCAGTTCCTTTTGCTTTGTCCTCTTCCCTTCCTCCACTCCCCGTTCCCTCCTTCAACCTTCCCTTTTTCCCCTCCTCCCTCCCCTCCTTCTTCCTCCATCTCCTCTCTGTTGGTTTTGTGTTTTGGGGTTTGAGGTTTTGCAAGTCATTATAGAGCAAATGACAAAGCTCAGAATCTTGGGCTAGCTCCCCCCTTTATTCCTTCTGGTAGTCTCAGAGACAGGAAATGGCTAACCCAGAATATCACAGCCAGCGCTGAGCTGGGAGGGCAACGCAGGCCTCAAGCCTCCCAGGCAGTCCTCCCGTTGTCGTTCTGATCGAGCACACAATTATGGCTCCTCTGGGTACTCATCCTCATCGCTTCCGCCTTCCCTGGGGAGTCTGCATGTATGGAGACCTCAAGGTTTACCCACAAGGTGCTGCAGCCCCACAGCCTTCGGGGTATGGGAGAGGAAGGTGTGATGAGGGGCGAGGTTTCCTCCTTTGCAGAACTTGGAAGGGTTTTTGCAAAGAGGCAGCATGTGGATGTTGAGCGTTTGGTGAGGCACTTCCTCCTGATGCTCAGGGCGAGGGTCCTGCAGGACTCAGGGAAATCCCACCTGCATCTAGAGAGCTCAGGAGAGAACAGCACTGCAGACGTCTGGCTTTGAAGGGTATCTCAAGCCACCTGCTGCGGGGTCTGCCAGACTGCCCACCCTTGCACTCGCTGTACTGGGCACAGAAAGGACTCTGCCTTCTGGGTCTGTGGCCTGGGAGGAAGTAGCCCCATCATCCTTTCAACCCCAGCCTCAAAGCACTTTCTTTATTAGAAACCTTCCAACTGCTAACCCAGAGATGCATGAAATAGCATTTCTTCACTGAGCAAAATGTCCACACCCTGGTGGACGAGAGAGGAGCCAGCTCTCCAGCCTCCTGGGGGTGGAGGAGCCCAAGGCTTCAGGGTAGAACGCCCCAAGCAGGTGATGGGGGAAGTGTTTTCCTGGAACAACTCCTTTCTGTCCGTGGAGGGGGGTGGGGTTTGAAGTAGATTGCTCTCCGGCCCGTAGGACTCTTGATTTTCTGTCCCTCAAAGGAGCACAGGCACCGCCACCTCAGATCTCCTATGGGCTCTTTCAAGCTGCCCTCTTTCTCTGATAGTTGTCTCCTATCCTCAAGGCTGCTACTGTCACCCTGAACCTTGATCATGACAGCGTGTGTGTGTGTGTGTGTGTGTGTGTGTGTGTGTGTGTGTAAGGAAAAGAAGCCTGCCAATTTATGCACAGTGGAGAAGGTGTGTGGAGTGCTGAAGAATCTGCTCAGACGGCTGGGTTTGGGGAGGGCACACTTTTCCCCAACTTGAAGCAGCTCACGTATGTGTGGGCTGGTGTCTCTCATGGGGTGGGTACGAGTACACAAATGCTACGCTTGGATTTGACTTGTATACTCTCTGTAAGGGACAATTTCCTTGCTTTCATGCAGGGATTGACTATCTGTCCTCTGGGGTATGCAGATGTGTAAACATCACAGCCTAAGGTGAGTTTGGAGACCCATAAGGGCGCATCTTTTTTCATGGAGGGATGTCACTATGCACTTCTGTGTGGACACCTGTATACTGTTGTGCGAATAAACACGTTGTATTGCAATGGAGTCGCTGTCCCGTTGGGCATATCTCCCAACAGATGCTTGAGTATGGGGACAGTGTCTGTCCGGTGCTTGGGTGCTATTGTTCAGAGGCCAGTCCTGCAAACAGCTCTAGAAAATGAAGCCGGGGAGACCCCCTGCCTTTCCTGTGCCTTCCTAGGAGCCACCGAACTGGGCTCAACCCCACTCCTAGATCTTCGGGCTTACGCCAAGGATCGGCCCAAGGCGGCGCCAGGAAAGGCGGGGTGCAGTACAGGCAAAAGCCCAGACGGCAGATCCCTCCTGCAGCCACAGCCACTGCGGTGTCGAAACCACACCGGGCCCCTGCCGGAAGCGGAAGCCAGCACGGGGGCGGTGAGGCGCAGTGGCGGCGGTCGCAGCGTGCCAGGCCCAGGGCGCTCCGCGGGGGCGTGCGGCGCGCGCGTGCGTGGCCGGGCAGCACCTTCCCGGCCGGCGTCTGTTTACCAACAAACTGCGAGCGCCGGGCAGCTACGCATTGCATTCCGACGCGCTGAATAAGGCGCGGGCGCAGGCAGGTTGCTCTTGACTCCTCTGCAGGTCCACCGCGGCAGAACCAGAACCAGCTCCAACCAGGAGTTCGGGCAGCACGAACGCTGCCCGCTGCGTATCGCCCCTCGCCGGTGGGCAACCCACGTCCGCCCACTCTCTAGCACACGTGCATTACTACTGAGGTCTCCTGACTGCACCAAACACCCTGCTTGGTCGTTCAAGGAGCGGACCCGTGGGCAGAAGCGCCATTTGAGCCGCGCACCCCTCTCCTTTCCCTGCGCGCGCTGCCCCCCCCCCCCCGGGGGTGGCGGGCCCCAGTTGCAGGCCTCGGTGAGGTCACAGCATGTGGCAGCCAATCCTGGGAGTCTAAGTGCTGGGGGTCCCGGGATCCGAACCTGGACGGGGGGGGGGGGGGGGGGGGCGAAGGAACATGAAGGGTGGAAGGGAAAGCCATGGTGCCCCCTCCCCTCTTTCCTGATGCAAGCTCTCAGCTGGAAGAGGAGTATGGAGACTTTCTCTGGGATCTTAAGTGTTTGAGTGGCTGGCTTTGGGGCTGGGGGCTTATCCACGTCAAGGGCTGCGGAAAGCAAAGCGGGTTGGTGCAGGGAGCGGACAGCGTATGGAACCGAGGCTTAGGCCCTGGGCTCCAGCCGCACTGACCTCCTTGCCCTGCTCCCTCCCAGGCCAGGACGTCTGCAAAGCTGGCTTCCCAGACCTGCCCCCGGCCCCGTCGGTAGTGGCTGCCTATTCGCTTGGCCTGTTCCCCGCAACCGCAGCCTCCCTCCATCTGTCCCAATCTGGGCCTTTTGGCCACCTCCTGTCCTACTCCTACACCAGGCCAGAGACCCCAGAAGACTCCTACCTACCCTGCCAGCAGCGTGCAGCGCCTTCACAGCCCCTCTGCGGCCCCGCTGAGCTCTCACCTGAGGCGCAGGCAGGTAAGTCCGGTGAGGCAGTGACCGCCCCTGGGGTCCGACTCCTGTGCACCCCTAAACCTCGCCCTCACCTGTTCGCACGCAGTTAGCAGGGTTCAAATATGACTCAGATTCCGCAGGATCTGGGATAAGGGGAGAGCTAAAGAAGGGGTGGGATGAGGCCCGATGGAGGGGGAGTGGAGGCTTGTTGGCCTGAGTCTCCTTTCAAACCCGACCTGGTTTCGATTTGCAGTTGTGTAAAGCCAGGCTTAGAGGGCTCCCAACCCCACCCCCTTGGAGCAGCGAAGTTGTGTGTCCTCACGGGTAACGGGTAACGGAAAACTGCACCAATCCAGATGTGGGGGTGGGGCTCTGCCCTTCCGCGCAGTTCTCCCCATCCTGTGCTCTCTCCCTTCCCCTTGTCGCCCTGCCCTTCTGCCCTTCTCGGAGTTGTCTGGCCTCAGAAAGCAGTGGTGAGGCCAAACCCTGCTAAATAGAGATCAGGTCTCTGCTGGAGGGCTGTAGACATCCAGGTGGGGCTCTTCCATCTCCTTCCTGGGCCTGGCCCCCTCTTCTCTAGACCTTGCCTGACTTTGACAGGAAGTTGGCCTGGTGGAGTCTGGGAGTAGGACCCACCACCCGTTGCTCAAAGAACAGAGCTACAGGCCCGCGTGGTCCCCCAGTCTCTAATCTTCCCCTGGCCACCTGAGCCTTCTGTCAAAGGCATGGGCTATGCCTGGCCACTCTACTGTTGATTTGGGGTTCAGTTGGGCCCTAGTTGCTTTTGCCTGGAGAGCTCTGAGTTCCTGAGAACATGCTCTTTGCAAGGCCTTAGTGGAGTGGAGCTGCCTGCCTCCAAACTCTGGGCTTTGCCTTTTTAGGCCCAGTGCCCTGTCCTACACCTATACTTTGTTTGATCCTGTCCTCTGCACTCTCTCCTCCTACCCCAGGGCCCCCACCTTTGTTTTCCATGAAGTCTCCTGCAGTGCACGCATCCATGCATCCACCGACTGACTCTGCTGTATCCCGAACCTCCAACAAATCAACTCACCAAGAGCCAGAGCCGGAAGTGATCCCAGATGTTAGGGGTACACCTCCTTGAGTTACCAGGGGACAAACCAAAGCACGAAGGTTATGCCTGTTCCCCAAGGCCCTTGGCCCTTAGAGATGCACTTTCACTGCATGGAGACAGGAAAGATTTAGAGAATTTTCTCCAGATCCAGAAAGTTAATTGTCTTCTCTGGCAGAACTGGAGCTGCCTCTCCCAAGCTTCTGGTTGTGTTTGGAGCAGGGGAACTTGGGGGATTTCCAATAAGTGAATCCTTTGGACTCTTTAAGTGTGTACTAATTGGGTGTGAGTGCGTGCATTTGGGGATACATTTGAGGTGCAGCCTAGGAGGAATCTGACTTTCCCTTGGGAGAACTGTTGGCCCATGGGAGCCTGTCTTCCTGTCTTCTGGCCTATCTTCACCACTCCCTGTCCTCCCTCTGCCTGCCTAAGGATTCCCTCGTTTCCCTCGTGGAGAGTCCTTTTCTATACAGTTTACCCGGATCTGAGAGCCCCCCCCCCACAGCCACAGGTGTCCTTGGAGAAGGCAACATTTGGATAATGGAACTGGGGCAGTCAGCCTGCTCTAGAGTGATTGGGAAGTGCATGAGAGTGATTCAACTTCGCTTTCTCCTGAAGGAAAGAGTTTGGCCAAAACCCCTCGGAGGGGGTAGGTGCGGCAGCCTAGAAGGAGGCCTCAAGGCTCTGTTGTTGGGACCAGAGCTGATCCAGTTGTGATTTGCAGTAACTGCTGTGCAGCAAGGGCGGCTCTCCCAGAAAGAACTTAAGGGGACATCGGCTTTGAGTTGGGGGCCCAGAGGCTCGGAGAGTTCAGCAGCCGGGTGTCTCTGTGGCTCTGGGTAGCACTGCTGGAATTGTGCGCTCTGCGCAGCTAGGAAGGCTCAGGTGGGCACCGGGCGCCAGGGCAAGGCTGCTCACAGTGGGGTCGGAGCAGGGGAGGCCAGACAGTCTCGGGTGGGCCGGAGCTGAAGCCCAAGCGCTGAGGATCTGTGCCCAAGGGGTGCGGAGGAGGTAAGGCAAGGGGTGATGAAGCTGGCCAAGGGCGGGATCCTGAGGGAGTGTGGAGGAGCCCCACCTGGGTCCTGGCCGTGCGCACTTTCGGCTGGGGTCTGCGGGAACATGACCAGCGCTGCTGCTGCCCCCCGCCGCCGGTATTCCAGCCACTTCACCCCCTAATTCACCTACCTGGGACGGCCAATTGGTCCAAGTAGAGTGCCTTGAGTGGGGGCCCCTCGCCCTCAATCTTTGGCTCCATCCTGTGTCCCCACAACCCTGTCCAGGGGAGTCCTCCAGAGTCAAAGAGAGGACCAGATCTCTGACCACCTGTGTGCTGCAATTTGCTTTCCTAGCTCCAATCACCCTAAACACGCAGGAACTCCTGCACCTGGACCCACTGGCCAGGCTTAGGACAGGACCACGGGTAGAAAGCAAGGAGAGAGAATTCCGGGGTCACTTCTCACCTGATGCAGGCATTTGAAGCTCAGATGCCATGTGACAGCCTGACACCTGAAAATTGATTGCAGTTCCCTGCGCTGGGGAGGCCCAGAGTTTTGTCCCACCTTACTGCAAGCTGATCCCCTCCCCCACTTCCCCAACCCCTGCAACTAGAGCAGACCCCGGGGAGCCTCACTCTCTACCGATAGCACTTTCAGCACTCAGAAACCCAAATTGGGAGCTCCTTGTGGTCAGGAACTGCTTTGTATGCTGGGTGCATCCTCCAAAAATGGAGGTTAAAAAGGCAGAGTAAATCTGGGCGAGGTAGTACATGCCTGTAATCCCAGCACTCCAGAGCCTGAGGCAGGAGGCTCGCTGCCAGGAGTTTGAAGCCAGCATGGGCTATGGAGTGAGTTCAAAGCTAGCCAGAACTACATAGCCAGATCCTGTCTCAAAACACCAAAAAAAAAAAAAGAAAAAGAAAGAAAAAAGGAAGAAAGAAAAAAAAAAGGGGAAGGAAGGGAGAAAAGGTAGAGAAAGTGAGGCCAGGTGCAGAGGAGGCTGGAATCCCACTTGTTCTATGCTACACACACACACACACACACACACACACACTTCCTTGTGTTGCCCCCAGAATTGGAGAAGCTGCTGCTGTCCCCAGAGCTGCTGGAGAGACACCCCCAGATCCCTGCCAAGAAGCTCGCAAGCCCAGAACCATCTACTTGAGCCTGCAGCTGCAGCGACCGAACCAGCATTTCCAATACACGCAGTACCTGGCGCTGCCAGAGAGAGCGCGGCTACGGCTGGCAGCGCAGCTTGGCCTCACGAAGACCCAGGTGGGGCTGGTCGGGTCGTTCCCCAGCACCAACCTTCCCATGCCTCTGGGCTGGGAGCTCTCCCCAAGGTATGATTGGTGATGTTGCCATGGACCCTGGCCCTGTTGCCCACAGTCCATAGCTGGCCCTCAGTGAGGGTTGGAGGAATGTATTAGAAGGGGGCTGTGGGGGGTTTAGTAGAGGAGGGCATCCCAGAGGACAATGCAAAGTGCGTTCTAGCTCAGGGGACCTCTCGGGCTACAGAGGGTGCAGCCAGCATCCCCACCCTGGTTCTGCTCCTGGAACTTGCTGCCTGCAGTTGGCACCCTGTGTCTTCCACAAATACTCCTGAGCTTTCGTTCTGTCCCCTCTTCTCCCCAAAGGTGAAGGTCTGGTTTCAGAATAATCACTCCAAGTACAAGAAGCTCGTGAAACAGAACTTCAGGGCACAGGAAGGGGACTTCCCCCGAGACACCCCCCCCCCTCCCTGCTCCCCACTCCTTCCATGCCTCTGGGATCTGCCCAAGGCAGGTGCCCTGCCCACCAGGGGCTGTGGCAACAGCTTTGGAACCTGGTATCAGCATCACTCTCCATATGCGCTGGCTGTGCCTCCGATGTTGTGAGCCTGGGCCCAGGCAGCCCCCGTCCCTCCTGCCAGGCCCAGGACACAGGTGCCTGCACCCCCTGGGACAAGAAGACACCAGGTCTGGATAGGTTTTCTCCAGGATGAAGGGCTAGAAGAGAAAAAGGAAGGGAGTTATAGCCGCTGAACTCCAACAGCTAAAACAAGGGCTCAGCCTTCGTCATGGGCCCTTACCACTCCCGAAAGACAGAGGCTCTGGAGAGGGCACCCTAGGCAAGACTGCCTGGGCACAGCTGTCCCGGGTCACAGGACCGCAGCTCCACGGCAGCCTGGGGTCAGAACCAGGAGGAAGCACTGGGTATCGTTTGCTCCGTGTTCTTTGGGCCCTGCTTAACCCATTTGCGAGCAAAAGCAGAGTGGACCTCTAGTGTTCCGAGCCGCTGCCAGCAGGTCATGTCTGCCCACCTGTCGAATTTTCTTGATGTTCGGGTGTTACTTCCACAACAGGGGTGTGGCCCAGAGGCAGAGCAGGTGCTTGGCACGAGGAGATCCCGCATTCAGTGCATAAGCACCCCACGTAGCTGGAGTGGCCTGGGACGCCAGCTGCTCTCCCTTTCTCTGTCCACAAAAACTGCTCAGATGCATAATCAATCCGACTGGCATCTCCCGAGCTCTGACCCCTCCACACACCCTGAGCTTCTAGCCATTAAACTTGGCATAAAACCTGGACCCAGCTGCCACGTGTGTTTGTCTCCTGCCCTCGCCAGGGTTGACGAGAGTCACTCGTATTTTCTCTCCCATATAACTTGTCCTCCACGGAGCTAGGGACCAGAAGCATTGGAGTCCTTGTCTCTGACTGGCTCTGTGGTTCCCACACTGCAGTGTTCTGGTAACAGCCAGGCCTTCCTGTGCTCCGGTGGTGAAACCAGAAGACATTTTATGCTGAGAAGGACAGAGACCACAGTGGTCTTCCACACACTCCCTCCTGGCCCAGTTGTGGAAAGAGCCAGGTGCTTCAGGCCTCATTCTTCACCTGCAACTCCAGGTGGAGGACTGCTCACCTTGGGAGAGGACACATGCTCCAGCCAGCCCAGGATCCCCTGGAGAATTGTGTCCTGGGGGTTGAGTGGCCTTAGTCTACCTTGCAAAAGGAAAGAGGAGAAAGATACCAGCACCTGAGTTCTCCTCCTCCATCCAACATGTATCTTAGATACCATGGTGACCAAGGCAGACCCTTTAGGCTGACAGGGAGCCTGGTAAGGGACTGGAGCCATGCAACAGGTGCCAGATAAGGTGGGGAGGGGACAGAAGGCAGTGTGGATACTGTCCGGGTGCTTCGGTCCAGCCTGGCTGGGGGTCAGTGCCCCCTGCAAAGGCTGGGGAACAGCAGTCCCAGCAGTGACTTCTGGACACTGTGCCCCTTGACACATGAAGCACAAGGGTTAGGAAGGCTGAAGACACAGCGAGTCATTCAGAGAATCCAGCCAGGCATGGCCTTGGTGGCTGGAATCAGGCCTCCAATTACAGGCAAAAGGCTCCCAAATCCAGCTTCCTCTTACTGCCTGAACCTGTTCAGGCACTGCAATGGAGGGTCTGGGGCACCCCAGACTGTAAAACCCACTACACCCAGTGCCAGTGAGAAGCCAAGCTGGGGTCAGATATCCAAATGTCAGGCAGGGGAGGTGTCCTGCAATAGATGCCTCAGCCCACCTCAAGGGGTCCTGCCATCTGGGTCAGGGACCTCCTTCCCTCCCCATAATACACATGGGGGAGTGTTGGGGTGGCAGCTGGCACAGGGTGGGCCAAAGCCCAGGCTCGGGAGCAACAAGGCAAAGGAGAGCCCCAGGAGTCACACCTGCTGCCCGCTTCCCTCCAGTGTCCCGCTCTGGCCCTCGGAGGATTGGGCCAGCTGCTCCCGGGTGGCCTGGCCCCAGATGCCTGCCCTGGGCCTTCTCTGAGGCCACAGGCCCTGGGGCAGCTGTTCCCTCCACCACAGGGTGCACACTCCTCTTTCCACAGAGCCCAGATAAGATCTACCACCCATCTCGGAAGGCCTCCAAAGGCAGATTAATTGGACAGCCCAACTCTAGTCACATTGTTAAAACAACAGCCTGGTTGTAAAGTTAAGTAGCAGAAGGAGCATAATTGCTCTCTCAGCCAGCGGCCAGCTGAGCTGACAGCACCCCTTCCTCCCTGTCTACCAGCCGTCCAGGAGAAATGTGTAAGGTCCCATTTCTTGAGACTCCTGGATATGGATGTACCCCTCCAAGGCCCCCCGGGGAGAGGCACCCCATCCTCCCTCCTCAAGCCATCAGGATTGTAGAAGGGCAGTCTTGCCCTGGAGAAAGCCCCAGTAAGGACTTTGGGCCAATAAAAGGAAGGAGCCAGGCGTGGTGGTGCATGCCTGTAACCCCAGCACTCAGGAGGCTGAGGCAGGAGGGTCACCTAAAGTTTGAATCCAGTCTGGGCTATATAGTGAGTGCAGGGCCAGCCTGAATTATACAGTGGGGCCCTGTGTGTCAAAACACCATTTTTTTTTTTTTAAGGTGGAAAACAAGATTGAGTAGGGACTTTGGGCTCCCAAGAGTTCCAGCTGTGCCACTCTGGTGCTGGGTGACTGGCAGGCCTCTTCACTGCTCTCTGGGCCCTGCTTCCTGGTGTGGTTACGATGGTGAAAGTAGATAGTGTTTGTAACAGGTTTGACACGGTGCCTGGAACACGGTAAGTGCTTAATAAATGGCATTTATAGCCACTGTGATGATTATTGGGGAGGGGCATTCACCGTGCCGTGGGTTCTCCTCTGGCAGACCCGCCTCCCTCCCAGGGTGGGGCAGGACTCCACGTGGCCCTGTCACCAGCTAAGGTCCAAACGCAGAAGGCCCTGCGCAGCTGTCAGCTGACACTGGCAGAGGGGTGTGTGTCTGAGAATGTCCAGGACACGCACATGCTGTCACCTATGTGGTCTCTGCTGCCTCAAACCAGGGGGGCGGGGAGCTTTCCCGCCCGCCCCTCCCCCCTGGGTCATTCGCCTCCCCTCTCCCCATATACTATTTTAAGGCAGGACCCCCATTCTCTCCTCCAACGAAATGAGATTCAATTAATTCAATTAAAGCAATTTTGGAAGCAGCTCCCGAAGGCCTTCAATGTGAGATAATTATAAGTAATTTGCTTCTGTGAGGAGGAAAAGGTTACATGGGGTCTGGGGGGGTTGGTTCCGCACCAAATGCACGCAGATCCAGAAGGATTCCACACTGCAATCAGAGCTGCCCTTCCATTGGCCAAATTACTTGCAGGTGGGAAGAGGGAGGGGGCGGGAAGACAGGGTGACAGGCTGCCCCTCCTCCATCCCCGGTGCCGGCAGTGCGGGGTGGGGGCAGGGAGGTGCTTGCTCCCGACAAAATGTCTGCACAGCCGTAGCCTCCGATTACTCAGCTCGCGGCCTCATTTGAGTTTGGATGCCTAGACTTGCCTCTGGGATCGAATCCAGAGTCGATGGAATGTTATCCGGGTAGCTGAGGCCTGTGTAGACCGGGGCCCTGGAGATCAAGGACGACGGGACAGCACTTTTAAGGGAAGAGGGGAGAGATGGGAGAAGCCCAGCAGTGACTCGGGCCTTGGGGGGAGGGGGGAGCGCGAGGAGGAGACTCCTCCCAATCTATCCTCCCACCCCCACCAGCACCGATTTCTGGTTCTGCCTTAACGTCCAACCTCAATTGCTTGCGTTGATTGTAGTGGTGGCAAATCTCTCAGCTCTGTGTCCCGAGGGGCACTGAAGGCTCTTCTTTCCCTAAAGCATCTACAGCTGTCCCCACCCACCCCCCACCTCGCCTGGGGCCCTGCTGTACCTTGCAGGCTTCCTCTGGTCAGGGAGGGGACAAGACCCTCGAGGACTTAGAGGTAGGAGCTGAGGCCAAACAAGGAGGCTGGGCTTCCGGCCTCCCCAAAGACCCTCTCTGCCAGGCCTGGTGACGCAGCCTGTAACCCCATCGCTCAGCACCTTGAGTTCCATGCCAGCCTGGGCGACAGGAGTTGAAGGCCAGTTGGAACCACGAATGGAGTCCCAGTTTCAAAAAACACAAAACAAAACGAAAATCTAAGATCCTATCGACCAACCCCGGCCACGAAGGAGCTAGGGCCCCCGGTACCTGGAGCTCTTAGCTTAGAAGGGAATGGTTAAACAATTACGGTGCAAAAGAAAAAGTCACTGACCCCGAAGTATCTCTTTCATGTCTTCGCCTCCTGTCCATCTCTCTCCTTGCTGCTTCCCTTCCAAGTAGGGGGTTCCTTTGTCTCCAGCCTCTCCCCACTTTATCCCATGTTTCCCCTTTTCTGATCTGCAGGGCTGTTGGACCCAGAGACCCAGAGAAAAATCCCTCAGGAAATGCACAGAGACACGAGGGAGAGTGGCCCAACTCAGGCTTCCCGTTCCTTAGCCAGCTAAGTTTGGGCGGAACCAAGCCTTGCAGTACACAGCCCAGTCAGGCACAGTGCTGCACAACTGTAATCCCAGCCCCTTGAGAGGCTGAAGCAGAAGGATCTCAAGTCTGAACCCAGTCAATGGGAAGGCGAATGTAGCTCAGTCCCCAGTCCGTGAATTCAATCCCCAGTACCAGAAAAAATAAAAAAACAAAGACCCCAGATGAGTCGTAACCAGGTACAGGGACGCTGTACATGCATAACATATGTATGTGTACAGTAGGCAGGGGATGCACGCACGCACACAGGATGCGTGGGGCTGCATCCCTGGGTTGTACTGGACACACACAGGGAAGCACAGTGTCTGGGCTTTTGGAGAGGGAGAGACAGAGGGTGCCTGGGACTTCACAGGAGCAGAAGCAGAGAGAAGCACGGGTGGAACATGCTCGGCTTCCTGGGGTGCAACGGGGGTGGGGCTGGTCTGCCCTTCCTCCATTTTCTGGAAACAGTTCCCTCTCTGAGGGAAGAAGCTTGGATGGCCACAGAAACTCGCTAATTCTATTACGATTTCATTCTCCTTGTTCCCTGAAGCCCTGTCTGCTGCTTCTCCCGAGCTCCAGCAAG